TCTTTCTCTTCCCCTCAAGCAAGCTATTCTCTTTTCCGCAATCCCTCCCTCTAACCACTTTTAAAATTTCAACTTTTAAGTCTTTCTCCAATTTTTATAATGCCCACTTATTTTCATTTCTTTGCACTTTTCTTTACTAATTCCAAAAAAGAAAAGAACATTGCTTTGTGTAATTGATTGAATTCTGTTTCTTGTTATGATGCAGGGTCACCCCATTCCTATTTCCTGGGTTTAATCTTTTTCTTTTATGATAGGCTCAGAAAGTGGTTTTGTGTTGTGGATTGAGTCAAACGGAAACACTTTGGAGGACAAAATTTTGTAGGTAGGGTAACAACCAGGGAGAGAAGTTGGATTAGTTTTGTGATTTGTGGATTTGAGATGGATCATAGATGTGCCAGAGATGAGGATGCTCAAGTTGATCTTGAAAGTGGGTTGGCACTGGCTGAAGATGACTCAAAAGAAGGAAAGATATTATACACCAAGATTTCATGTGGGCTTGTCGGAGATTGTCTAAAAGGTGAAGATGGGTATAGTGGATGCTGCAATGAATCAAAGTTAACTGTAGTTTCAATGGACATGGTGAAAGTGACAAACAAGTTGTACTCAGTAGAGTTTGGAGAGAATAACAGTACCCCGGTAGCAGTAAAGGAGAAACGCAAAAAGTCCAGTAATAAGAAGGCTTCCAAACCTCCAAGACCTCCAAGGGCTCCCTCACTGGATGCAGCTGACCAAAAGCTTATCAGGGAGATCAATGAACTTGCCATGTTGAAGCGCGCAAGGATAGAGCGAATGAAAGCCTTGAAGAGGATGAAAGCTGCTAAAGTAGCATCATCTTCCAGTAGCAGTATGTTTGCTATGGTTTTCACTGTTGTCTTCTGTATTGTCATAATACTCCAAGGTAATATTTGTAATGAAAGTCATTTATATCATGCATGTGGCATTTTTTCTCTCTCTTAATATTCTGTACTATATAACATCATAGGGGTTTAACTTGCAGCTATCGATTAACAGATGGTTAATGATAGGTGTGTTGGCAATTGTTGGGTTGGGTATTGTTTTGCCTTGTTCTGTTGCTTTTGGATTGTGCCCTGTTGGGTCTGTTTTCTAAGCTAGGCCATTTCAAATTTTGTTGACTATTGTTTCAGTATTATGTTTGGTGAATTCATGAAAAGTCCCATGAAATACTGATATGTTGAAATTCTATTCACAAGTCATCGTTACTGTTTTTTTTTCTGTTCTATTTTTTTTTTTAACATTGAGAAAAAATACAAGACAAATTAAATATAGGTTGGTTCTAATGGTTCTTTATTCAACTATAGGTTGGAAAGTCGAGTTATGGGATAATTTTACTATGAACAGGGAAAAGGAAAGAATAAAAATGAAAATAAGTCTTTCACTTTTTTTCTTGTTTTCAGTGTATAAGAAGTCTTTTACTTTAAAACACAGTCCTGTTAAATAATGAGCTCGGTCAAGTATATTCGCTCTTTGGTCATGGTTCAGTATTTGATATTTGAAGACATGGTTTCAAGGAATTCTATTGTGACATATTAATCAAAGTTTTCAAGACTATTGGGTTCTTTCATTTTTTCACATTATGATTTCGGGTTTAATCTGGTCATGTAGATCTAAATAAATAACAATTTTTCCAACAAGCAACTGAGAGAATCATCCATTCCCTCCATGCATTTGCTCCTTATTTCCTCTTTGATATGTGTTCAGAATGCTGTGCAAAGGGCCTTTAGTTTGCTAAACTATTGGCAATTGGAACTATAACAAATCAACCATTTGTTGGGTATAAACTGTTGTAGCATACACATGGCCATTGAAATGTTGAGAATGCTCTATTTCCACTTATCTGATTATGCTGCATCTGTATTTGAGAATGAAGTAATTGTCTTCTATTTTATGGTCTACAAATTCCGTATATATTATGAATCAATCATCAAATGGTTTTGCTACTATGCAAGATGAGAATCAAATTCATGAGAACAATGCCTCCCAATAGTCTTCATTTTTAAAATGTTCTCTTTACAGGCATGTCATCTGGAAAAGGTGCAGTGGCAACATTCCAGGAATCTCCTGTACCTGCAGCTGCAGGAGTAACAGAAGGTGGTCTGGTTGATGTTCAACACCAACTCAATCCATCTTCAAGTAAGCCAAATGCACCTGTTTTAGAATCTCACAAGTAAGTTGAGATGCACAATGTTCATTGAACTTCCTTTGTCAGCACCTTTTATTTCTTTTTCTACCTCATTCATAAAGAATACAAAGCCGACGCAGCAACCTTGTAAACATAAACAATTAAACATTGTTGCTTGGTTTACTTTGCAGAATTGTACAGCAAATTACTGGTTCAGATTTGCTCGCAAAACTGAGAAGAGATGCAGGTTAATGCAAATATAGTGACACTGACACCAAGAATGTTGCTGTCATATGGTATTGTACCTCATGCTTCTCACCAAAGATTTTTTTCTTGTCTTTCAAATGTATTTCATTGTTATTATGAGACTGAATGTGTTGGGCAATTGATCCCCTGTAAGTATATTATTAGTCAATTGTGGGGTGAGTTATATCACTTAAGTGGTGTTGCTGGTAGTTTCCTCCTCAGCAACTGCTTGTTGCATACACTCGTTGAAATTTAGAGTTCTAGGAGATTTTGCTTCCGAAGCTTCACAATCATGTGTAATAATCACCTAACTAGTGTTATGTAACTATCTCTATTTATCATTTTTCAATTGTGATGTGAGGGAGAAAATGCAGCGTTTCATATGATTTTATTTAGTGTCCTTCTTACTATGTTTCCCTATACATATCCTCTCCTAAGATGTTCACGAAACATAGGTTAGTATGCAAGGGGGAACTGAAATTCATTTAATTGATAATGTAGAATTAACCATCAAATTAACTCGTGCATTTGCAAGTAAGCAAATGGCTCGCTAACTCACTAACCAAGTTAACCAAACTCGTTCGCAATATGGTTTTACGGTTGCAAGTTGGAACAAAGGTGAATGCTAATAATAAAAATGATTTATTATTAAATAGTATTCGCTAATAATAAAAATGATTTATTATTAAATAGTATTCTTTATCACATATGAAAACTAATTAATTTTCGTCGAAAAAGTTTGACTCAAATGAATGAATACTTCCTTTGAATTTATATTTTATACATACGATAATTTAAATATATATATATATATATATATACATTATAATATAACTTTTATTTTTTAAAATATATTATTTTTTGAATAAAAAAAAATATATGTATAAAATGATAATGAGGGCAAGTATCTCTACTGTGTCCAATATAGATCCGTCCTTACTTGTGATTTGAGTGATTAAAAAAAGCTTTTCTGAAATTATATAAATTAAAAAATTAGTTTTAAATTTAAGTGATAAAAAATAAATCTTCTCTAAATTTGAGTAAGAGAAAGCTTATTTAACCCAACTGTAAAACTCTTTCATTGAGGGTGTATTTAAATTAAATTTTCTCTTTATGTAATGCTACAATGTGAACTCTGATATCACGTGGAAAAATATAATGTTAGAAAGTGATGAGAGAAAAATGATTTCAATGGAATCACAACGTGAGATGTATATCAGCACAATAGTTGTCTAATTAATTACCATCGGACATATTAATACGAACTTACAAAGCAGAATCAATCTACCGCATGCGCTGACGTCATATCACTACACAAAATTAATTTTATTATTCATTAATTCAGGTCACGGTTGTTTAAACCAAAAAGAAAAACAAATAAAATTATGTACAACAACTTTTTAGAACTTTATAAGTTTTTTTTTTTTTAACTATTAAGAGAATTGCTGAAACATTCTTTTATTATTTTTCGCGAAGAAATTAAATCATTATTATGATTTTTGAAACATATTTTTTTAATTAAAAAGTACTTTTCTTGATTAAAAAAATCAAACAAACAGATCATTACTTTTTTTTTTAATTAGTGAACAGTATTGGATTGTGCAATTCACTTTTTCCCCTCAATACATTTTCCCTTTTTTGTGAATCTGCACTCGTTCAGTTTCGTCATCCCCTCCTGGATCGTAGTTTTATATTATACAATATTACAATATTACAACCCATACCCAAAGAAAGGGACTTCTAACTTTTCCTTTGAAAGAGAGAAATTTCTCTTTATTGTTCAGACAAAAACAGTAAGGTGTGTGACATTGGTTGTATTTAGACAATGACGAGTGAAACATAATAAAATCAAATTAAATTACAGTAGTATTATTTAGATACATTATGACAAAGCAGAATAAATTATTCATTCCATTTAAAAGGGAAGAAAAACTAAAATTATTGAACAAAATAGGATAAAATAAATTAATAACGTGTTTGGTTCCACGTTTTAGATGTAAATTTTCACATCTGAAATGATTTTAAGAAGCTAATAGTTATAACTTTAAGTTATAATTCTTAACGAGTTTCCAAACATGGTTCCATCAATCCTTTTCAGTTTCCCTCAGTCCCATGAAAAGAATGCATAAATTTCGATTTCAAGATAGGTGTGGCTCTTGCAAGCTTAACGCTGAGATGCCATCATGCCAGTTTGGACTCGACCGACTATTGTGCATGTTGAGTAGCTAAGCATGTGATTTCACATGTGACTGCTTCTCTCTATCTGTGATCCGACAAACTAAATTAAGAAAAAGTTGACAAAACAATCTTCAGCATATTGGAAATTGACAAATGCAACAGTTTCCATTCCATAACCGAAGAAACTTTGGATGCAGAAACAATTCAATAATGTTGGTCCTCAATCCTCATTCACTTTTCCTTCTCATTCAATTTTCACTTTGCCATCATAATTACGTGACTATCCTATTTCCTATCCTATGGAATGGTAACAACACCATGATATAAGGCCACCACTCTAGATTGTCTATGGTCAAATCCGAGACAAGCATATTCCCAGTCCTAGGTGCCGTAGGTTGTCTAATTTTACTGAATTGGAGATAGTAACCACTCCCTTAAATTGTAGGTCTATTTATCCCTGTTTCGAGGCTGTGCTGAAATATCTTAGAGTAAATAATACTGTCATTCCTTTAAGTTTTTGTAAGATGGCATATAGTTAGCTAGTTTTTTCTTAATATTTATGATAACACGGAGATATAGTGCAATGTTTTTAAAATAATAATGGGATAAATGTAACATATAAGAAGTGGGAATGTCATGGTTTTTTACAATTAAAAAGGAATTAGTGTAGAGTAGAAAACTAAAGAATTTATCTGCAATTTTGTGAAAAAGGGTATTATTGTAATTTAATCTATCTTATAATTATATGCATATTTGTCATAAAATATTTTTAAATTTCTTTTTGAAAAGTTGATTAAAAAATGATTATTTTCCGGAATAAATTGAAACAAAATTTAACCAAACTATGATTTAAAGGCGAACCAGGCTCATAAAAGTGAGACCAGAAAGGTTGTAAAAAAAAGTATGGTTTATAAAGAGCATCTTTAGAGTACACAGAATTATATCATATAACTATTTGTACAAACTCAAGCATCTAAAGCATTTATTTATGGAATAAGAATACGAGCACTAGTAATTACTAAACACTACAATAAATGAGGCTGAAAAACAAATCAGCCATTTAATAATAGTTTAACTATTGCTGCAGCCACATCCACGAGCTTCTGCATAATGTCATTTCTGTCACCTAAGGGTGCCTGATTTGAGCCAGAAAATTTCTTGTCGCAAGCATTTACTTCCTTCTGAGCATCTAATATGCAGTAACTGGCAAACCCAAATCGACCTTGGCTAATGGCATCAGCTGCTTGTGGAATAATGTACTTCACAACTGGGATGTATGACTCAGCACAAAAGGCCAATTGTTGCTCCAATTTTTCATCTGAGGTTTCCTTGATCAACTCTTCAATGTAACCAAGTGTGTCAGTGGCATTAGCCAGAATGTCATTGACCATTATGAGGGCCATACCCTTTGGATCACTTTTGGGGGCTAAAGGATTTGAGTGTAAGATGGAGCTGCAAAGGTCATAAAAGGGTGTTTTTCTGCATATTTGGTCTACCAAATCACCATCCTCATCCCCATCAGAGGAATGAGTAGGTGTGAAGAGAATACAAGATAGAAGAAGAATGTGGAGTAGAAAAGATGACATATAAAGTGAGCTTCTCCTCATTTTCTCAAGTAGGGGAATGAATGACCAAGCTTCTTTCTTGGCTGCTATTTAAAGTTAGGTGGGTCGTTGGTGAGTTAAAAAATTGAGATTTGTTTGTTACCAATTGATAAAAGGGAAAAATAGTTGGACCCCTTTAATTGGCTGTGTTCTAATCCTTTCTATGTGCATTTGTGAGTCTTTTCGTATATAATAATTGGTATTGGTCACAGGTGTGTTGTTTGCTTTTTGTAACCATGGGCTACAACTACAAGTGCTGTTGCAATTGTGTCTACACTCCGAGTTTAAGGATAGATCCTTCCTTGTATCACGGATATCTTGTTTTGTGATGGCTTTTAGTGCCAACAGTTCCACTGCTTCAGTTGTGTTCACACTCCTCTGTAGGTTGTTGTAAGATGACAAATTAGAGATCTTTCGAGATGATGTTGAGTTCAATAAACCTTCCCCTTGGGAATCAAAGAAAGAGGGGGCAAGGGACATTACTGAGATTTCCTTCATTAAAGACAAGATCTTGATGATTACATGTGTTAGAGCTTTCTTGTTTTTTAAACATCACACGGCAGAGTCATTAAAAGGACACACTAACTAACACCAAGCATAATTGGCATAGCTTCAATTTAAGGAGTCAGAATTATTAACTTTTGTCTTGTTTCTTTTCTTTTGGTAACAGGCATAGCATCTATAGTTTAATACCCTCTATCGCCATTGAACAATTTTCAATTGCTTTCAGCTTCCAACTTGCTTGATCATTTTCCTTATTTAGACTAAAGAAGAGACTTCTAAGAATTTTTTTTTTTATATGTAGTGCATTTTGAATCTTGAAACTATTTGATTTGAATTATATAATATTATAGGGTAGTGGGTAATTTTTTTTTCTTGATTTCACATTCACTGTGTCTTTCAGAGCCAACCAATTTTATAAGAGGGTGTTGTTCACTTCCTGTGGTGGGGATCACAAGAAGACAAAATAGGAAAGGTTTTTGAGGTTCCAAACCAAGGGTTGCCAATGGCCAAGAGAAGGTATCAGTAGAAAAGGGCCCCTTACTTCGAAATTGAACCAAACATACTTAAACTCAATGAGGTCACACCACCCTAAATGAGTATTGATGTCAAAAAGAAAAGGACGAACCTATATCCATAAACTAGATTAATCAACTAGATTAAGACAAATTAATAATATAAACTAGTTACATGAAAACTTATGTTTGATTTTAATTATCTTCCATATACACGGGGGGAAATTATTCACTCTGTTTTAAAGACTGGGGGTTAAACCTTAAAACTTAAAATGTTTAAAGGCTATTCTCTTATCCAAACTCCTCTCTTTTTTTTTTATTATTTAATTTTTATATTCTTGTCTTCATTTAAGTTTGGATAAGGTTATCGATATATTCCAGTGTTATTTATAATCTTCTCTTTTATTTTATTTAAAATTTCATTTTTCTCTTCATTTAATTTTTTCTTTAAACAAAAATCAAAATTCAGGATGAAGTTTACTCGCATTCTTTATCTTTATTTTTATGTTTTTGAATTTTCCCTTATGTAAATTTTTTAAAACAAGTCAAAATTATTTAAGCGTACTTCCTTTCTATATTGTATGAAATAGTTAAAAATAAATAAATACATTTGCTTTTATTCTCATGAAGTTATTAAAAATATTTTATAATTATGATGAATTATTTTTAACAACATATCTAATAAATGAATATTATTTTTAATATATATCATTAAAATTAAATTTTGAAAACTATTTTTACTTATTAAAATATTAAATGTAACTTAGACAATAAAATAGGCTGTCAACTACAGAAAATGGATAGTTGAAATATAACTCCAAATTGGACATATATCCACCTAGTACGATCAAAAAGATGTATGGATGTTGAAAATATTACGATTAAATACCGATGTAATGCAATTAAAGAATTCTATTGAGGTTAAGAATGATATCATTAAATACCGACTTAGTACGAATAAAGAGTCATAACAAAATTGAGAACAATAGGATGAAATATAGACTTAGTATAATTAATTAGTCATACTAAAATCGAGAATGACACAATTTAATACCAAAGGAGTATTATTAAAAAGACAAAATTGGAGAACAAAAATTATAAAATTAAGAATTAGGAGAAACAAATTATTAATGGAAGTATGGTAACAAATTTGCAATTTAACTTTCTTTTACTAATTTATTAATTTTATAGATATTTAGTCTTTTATAAACACTAACATCTCGTATTTCTATAAATAATAAATAATATACTTTTTTATTATGTATACATAGTAGTTAATATGAATATGAAAAAGTGATTAGATGAAACGATTAATATGGATGCTAAATGTAATAGTTGTAATACCCTCAAATTTGATGTTGGTTTTACTTCGTGAAACTTCAAACGATGATATTTTACATAATTTCTTGTTAGTTAGAATTCTTTATCGATTAGAACCTTCGATGGGTAGATCATTTTTATATGTCTATTCGCTTTTAGTATCAACAACTGACCCTACAAATTAATACAAAATATTTTAGTGTGATTTATCCTTGATTGCATATTTTTTGAAAAACTTCTCAAAAAGTCTAAATTATTCCAAGCCAAGTAAATGAATTATTGAAAAGTAGATCTTGTTGATATAAGTTATACAAATTAATTTCTTTAAATCATTCTCGATTGTACAACTTCATACTTATACAATCTTTAGATTCTCTCATTTTGATGTGTCCAAACTATTACAATAATTACTAAAAACACTAGTGCATAGGAATTATATTGAATTGTAAGCAGATGTTTTGGTGTGAAATTGTACAAGGTTTCAATATTAAAGTTATTATTTTGATCCACTATTAAATTAATAGAACGTACTATCATGGTGATAAAAAAAAGTTTAAAAATAATAAAGGTGTACACAAAAAATCCATATCAAATTTTATCTATCGTTGTAAATATAGATATAAACATTTAGATACTTAGTCATTAAAAATATTACCTTATGTAAATCTTACCCATCTTCGTCCACGAAAGAGATAGGCATATCACATCGCATGGCACATACTTATGAAACAGAGAAATCAGAAGAGAGTAGACGACGAGAATTGTGAAGCAGCGAATGCAATTGCGTATTTTATGTTTCCAGCATGCGCTTAAATGAATAACATTTTTATTGGACAGAGACAAACAAACACATAACATAAGACATAATTATAATTATAATAATAATATGAGATTACTATAAATATTAAATTGCATTGCATTGCATCATCCTCAGGGCTTTCCTCATGCAGTTGATGAATCTTCTCCAACGCATTCTTTGCGTTGCTTTTTATTACACTAAACATGATAAGTGCTAGCCCTGTGACATCTGCATCTGCATCGCTGCTGCCAGGGTCAGATACGAGGTATTCCACGCAAAGGTCACGATGGGGTGTCTGTTTGCATGTTTCTTCGATCAGCTTATTGGCCTCCTTTTGTTGCCGTGAAGTATTCACCGCCGATAGAAGTGACTAATCTCCTCGTTACATTAGAGATATCTCAAAGGGTGAGATAGCTCGCCCTAAGATTTAACGCAGTTGCATACACAAGACAAGATTCGAATCCCTGACCTTACTTAAACGTAGATCAACCCCTACTATTTAACTACACGCTTGAGATTACCTTTGTCTTGCTTTAGGAACTCAGAACAATGAAAGAACATGCATTGATTTCAGTTAATAGTATATGTCTTTATATGATTAGGAGTTAGGTCGTAATTCTAGTCTTCTACTAAAACTATATTGTACTTGTACAGGTTGGTTTTATTATGTTACAAGTAAGCAACCCTTTTTACCCACGTAGGCATGAATGATTGATTACTCACAAGAGAGAAGTTGTGTGATGGATTGAAGTAGAATTTTGAAACAAAGGTAAACAAATCATTTGGTCTCTGAAAGGGACATTTATTTAAGGGGAAAAAATATATTCAACTTTAGTCTTTGTATATTTTTATTAGTACATATTAGTTTTATTTTAAACTCTAAAATTTTTATATAAAAAAAGGTAGTAGAATCATTCGTAAAATAAATAGATTAAATTAGTTCTGAATCATTAATAAATTTATTTGTGAATGAATAAACATATTCATTTGTTACCTTTAATAGAAATAAAATATTATTCATGGTAACTAAATAATTAGTTTAACTAATACCAATTGGAAATTGGAAATTGAAAAAAAGTGAAGCAAAATGAAAGGTGCGCAGAAATTAGTGGTCAACATCATAATATAATTAATTTTATCCAAAGTAAATTACATTATATTTGAGAAATGATGAATTACATTGTTCATTTTTCTTCTTCTTGTAAGCAGGGTCTTACGCACACAAAAAAAAAGAAGGGAAAAAAAAAACCTCATTTTTCCTTTGTTTTAAAAAAGTTACACTCTTCGACCCTCCTTTATTTTGGTTACAAACACTGTTTTTTAAGAGTTTATGAAAATGTGATTGTGGAAAAAAAAAAACAAAAAAGAAGTTTATGAAAATGTTAGATAAGACATTATTCCTTCTTTCTTTTCTTTTTTCTTTTAAAGATATTTTGGTTACAAACTCTGTCAATAAATGAGTCATTTTCTATCAACTTAATCATTAAATTGGCCAACTTTATAATAATTTAGTTCTTTCAACCTGAAGCCGACCTTACTTGTAGGAAAAATTTCTCATTAAGGACTAAATTATCATAAAAGATGAATTTAGAATTAAATTATATATTTACCAAATTTTAGGAATCAAATCAACAGAAAATTATTATCCTTAGAAAGAAAATTATATATTTGCCCCTTTTTTTATAATTACTAATGACACAAAAAAAAAACTCTATTTTACTATTGTGCATACTAGAACTCTTGAGAAATATTTGATCATTGAGTTCAATGACCTCGTCAATGAGAACAAAAAACTAACAGGCTAAATCTATGTCTATGACAAATTTAAGGACTAGTTTATCATAACTGTATATATTATTATCGATCAGCTTCGAGAATAAATATTAAGAGATTAATAAATAAATAAAATAAAATATATTAATATAGAAATGTATTGATAACATTTTAATTTTTAATAATTTCTGAATTTACTTAAATTCCTTGACTTTTTTTCTCGAGGGTAAGATAATTGGCTCTAAGATTTAATGCAGCTGCATACATAAGGCAAGATTCGAACTCCTGACACCTTGCTTAAGCGTGGATTAACCCCTACCACTGAACTACACGTTTGGAGTTACTTAAATTCCTCGACTATTATCTTAACGGGTAGCAAAATAAATGAAGACAATCGAATAGCGTGATAAGCAGGACACGTTACCACTCACCACGAATCAAGACAATGTCACGTTTGCATAACGTGTTATGAGTTGTGTATATGGCTAATGATGAATCCAATCGTATAAAAATGAAGACATTGCAAGTTTTGGTGTAGAAAATGCAGAACATGGTTTTGGAGAATGAAAAAGAAAAAGGCAGAAAATGTACATTATGTTATGTAGCAGCTATTAGAATGCGGTTGTCGTAACAGGAAGGTCAGAGTGAAAGGCGTACGTCGTGTCTTTAGAGTGACCAATTGATGATGCTATAATAAAGAGTTGTGTTTAGAAATTGAACATGATCTCCAACCAGCCCAAAACAGCAACAATCACCAGAAAAGGACAACCCATTCCATAGATTAATTTCTTTCACTTATCCTTATCACTTCTTTCAGCCCCACCATTAGTAAAGAAGATTAAGACACGCATTCAAGGAAAAAAGAAACAAGATATCAGTTGTGCACCTTATGCCTATCCGCAATTCCCAATAATTGAAAACAGGATATGGGTCTCTCTCTCTCTCTTTTTTTTCTTTGTTAACTTGGACAAAAAATAAACTTGCTTCCAAAAGGGTATGCGTCTTTCTCCAATAATACATTAATATCATGTTCAAGGTCATTTTTAAGGTTTCTTTTGTAACGGGGATTCTCATTTTGTGAAACTCTAAAAGAAAAAAAAAACAAGTTTTTCTATCTTTTAACAAGATTATAACTCTTTTTTTTTTGTTGTATATGAATTTATAAATTTTTAACTACCTAGGTGTGTTTGTTTGGATTTTCCATTCCAACACGCTAAATGTGTGAAAACTGTTATACAAATTCATGTTCCAACCATTGAACATAGTCTTTGTGATTATGACAAACTTACTTTTTTTATATTTAGTGTATAACCTTCTTTCGGACAGAATTAGCTTAAAAATGATTAAAATAAAAAAATAAAATACAGTCTATGCAACCATAATTGCAATGACAATATAGTTATGGATATTCTGCAAATCTTGATGTTACAAGCATGTAATTCGGGTCGCGAACCATTTTAAAAACATTTAGCAAAAGGAAATGAAACTTTCCAAATCTCAATGAAAATCAGAAAGTGATTAAAGATCAAGTATGTTACTAAACATAACATTCTATAACAGCACTAAATTAGACAGCATTTTTGAATAAAAGTTAACACAAGTTCCAAGAATGAAGCATAGGTTTCATTTGAGCAACTAGAGCAACAATCTGACAATAGCCGCTGTGACAGCTGCAACATCATGCATAGCATTGTTCTGTTTGGTGAGGGGTGATTTCCCAGAGAATTCATTCTCACAATACGTAGCCTCATTGGCAGCATCATTAGCCCCATCTTCAGCAAACTTGGGGTCCCCCTTCTGCAGAGCTTCAGTGGCTTGTGGCACATCAGCAATTAAAATTGCTTTGTATTTGTCAGCACAAGAACTCAAGGCTTTCCTTTGCTTAGGCCCTGATCCAACCCTTTGCAACTCATGAATTATTTTTAAGGCATCGTTTGCCTTTGCCTTAATCACTTTGACCATGATCAGAGCCAGCCCTGTGACGTCAGCACTGGAGCTCTCAGGGCTTGCCTTGAGATATTGAAGGCAAACATTGTAGTTGGGTGTCTTCTTGCAAGTGCTCTCTATCAGCCTTTCATCGTTTCGATGCAAGGTTCTGCAGTGGCTCGATGGTATTATTGAAATCATAACAACCATGGCTTGGAGAGAAAAGAAGACAATTAGGGACTTAGAGTTTGTCATTGTTAATCGTTGGAAGACAAAATGATAGTGCCTAAGTTGCATAGATTGGAATGGAATGCTCTAGCCCAATTTATAGTTAGGAGCAGATGCAGTGGACCTACCTTTTGCTTTATATTTTTGCCAAAAAGGAAGAGGGTTATTCACCTTTTCCTATTTAAACATCTTTTTCATCTAAAGCCAAAAATTAAGATTAATCTATTCACATACCGAAATATTTTTAAAACAATCTTTAATAAGTATTTTTTATACGTATAATGTCATGCGATCAAAGTCACAACATAAGAATAAATATCAGCTTATATATACATAATTATCTTTATCTGTAAAAGACATTTTTATTTGAGTAAAAGATTATTAGGATATAATCAAAATCACACATTCTTAAAACATAAAAATAGACATAAGTTTATATATATAATTATTTTCATTAATAAGAAGTTCTTTGAAAATGTTCAAAAGCAAAATTATAATAATTTAAACATACTCGAGAAATATGTGTGTGATAAAAACTACCTAATATACAACACATAAATTAAAAATTTAAACTCTTAATACATATTTATTAAGTAAAATTATTTATTAATCATATCACATTTTATTAATTATTTAAATATAGGTATATGTTAGAAGAATTTTAGCGATATATGTGCAGTTTTCGACATACATGTTGGTTCCCCAAACCAACTTGTTTTCATAATAATAATTAAGATTAATATAACTTTAAGTAAAAAAGTGTGCAACTCTCATCTTTTAAGATTATCTTTGCTGAAGCTCGCTTTCTGTGCTTAAATAACCACCGTTCTATGTTGGCTTCACAAATTTTTAATTTATTGCGGCTAAATTTGAAATTCAATCATGAGTTACGACAAAGATCCTAAATTATTACTCTCTATGAAAGTAGATCACCATCGGATTTTATTACGTTTTAAAATTATTTTGATTACATGCATATTCATTATAGATAATTTAATTAAAAATTATAATAAATTAGTACAAAAATACTATATTTAAATATATATAAATTATATTTAAAATAAGAATGTATAAATATTTTTAAATAAATAAATTATATTTTAAATTTATAATAAATAAATTTTTATATTGTAAAAAAAGTTATTTATTAGTAATTTATTTTAAAATATTAATATTTAATTAATAAAATAATTATGATAAAAAATTAAATTAAATAAAAAGTTAAAAGAAATCCATACAAATTATCTCTTTAAAAAAATTCTTATGTAAGATACATATTCGTATTTAATATATATGATTGATTATAATTATTGATTGCAAATTAAAAAAATTAATAACTTTAAAATTTACATATTTATTGGTGTCGAAAAAATTATATACTTATTTATATGTATTTTTTAATTAAAAGATATTTTTACTTTTTATTTTTTATTTTAAAGTAACCTTTAATTCAGATGAGCCAAATTGACTCTATGAGCTTTTTCTTCCACTATATATATCTTAATTATTATATGCACAAAAGAAGGTATTTAATTAAAATTGTTTGTGATGTTAATTTGCGGCTGTATTTGCATGTAAATGATTGGCTCTATAGATGCAAGTAGTAATACACTAATACGTTAATTAAAGAGGAAAGTGCTAAAAGCACAATACATGGTTGCATTGCATCCCTCACCTCACCCTCTTCATAAATTTATTGATACATTGATCAATAGAATTTCAATACTTTATCACATTAGCTTATCAATTAATTAACATATGATATAATAATGAAATATTTTTCTTTTTAAATACTTGTGTAAAGGTGGAATTTAGGCTGTCATCACTCATCATATACAAAGTTAAACTCGTTTTAATACGATTTTTTAAATTATAATTACTCTAACTATTACATATTTGGGATGATGTTTAATAATGTTTGCTGAATTTAAATAATTTCTTTAATTTTCTTTATTATGTTTTTAAGCCTAATATATAGTATGACATAACGTTTCGGCACCATTTTTAAAACGGAAAAAAAGGGTTAGAATTAGATAGTTGCATATATAGCTAACAAGCACACAGGCATGTGGAGGATGGATGCAAAAACGGAATGGTTTTGCGAATAACGGGGTTTCTTTCCTTGTATTTCTCATGCATGATGCGTTTTCTATACACACGAAACCATCAAATCCTTGTATTTTCTTATGTTTTGTCTGAATGTGTGGTTCTTTCACAGTGGATAAACAAACATAAAAGATATCGATGATGTGATGTGATATCATATGTAATAAGGCAAAATTGTGCTTAGCTGTGTGATAAGGACTTTTACGTTCCATTAATCACAACAGCATCACATGTCTCTTGAGTTTTCAGTTCACAATGTGGGCTCGTAAACATTTTCTAAATTAATCATTCAGGAATTATTGATTAAAACGTACAAACTTTATAATATATACTTTTTACTAATAACATAATTAGAAAAGGATACATCATTTTAAAAAAAAAATAAAGTTAGACATGTTTAGTACACCATTTAAATAATAAAATATTTTTTATACATCAGAAATATTAATTAAATAACTAAATCAAGATCTAATATAACATTTATTCTTTCAGCTAAAATGAATAGATTTAATTGAAAATAACACTTATTCTATTTTAACATTCTGTGAAAGCTTTTTCATATAAAATTTCATATCTAGTATGTTAATCAACATACACATTTATGAAATATAGTGTAAAGTAAGAGACTAACCCCTAAAAATGAGCTTTTTCATCAAACTAATAAAATACTAAATTACTATTACAATTACAAACTTAAAGTTATATTAATATTAATAGATAAAAGTATATTTGTTACATATACGTGTGATGTCAAAATAAGTTTAGTTTTAAATAAATTCAAATAATTTTATAAGTTATTAAAATATTTAAAATGACTCAATAATTTTTTAATTTAATAAATTCTCATGCATTTTCAACCAATACATTTTTTATATCAAAAATCGTTTGTTCAATTATTTCGATATTTATACTTCTCAATTAGAAATTGGTCTTGTACATAATTAGAGATATTGCTTTATTTCTATAAGATTTGACTTAGTACGATAAATTATGCTTCTTTATCAAATAATAAAAGTTATACTTCTTTATCAAATAATAAAAAATACATTTTCATGCAAACTCGCTTAAGAACAGCAACAACTGTTTTCTTCATGAAATGGATAAAGGCTCTTTGAACATGGCAAAATTGTCAGGGGCTTGTTAGACGTTAATTAAGTATAAAATTTTCAACAAATACTTGTATGAGAAAGAAATATAAAAAAAATAATATTATAAGTTAAAATTAATTTATATATAAGTTAACTTGTAGAATTTTTTATATTAATTCTTTTAAGAATAATTAATTAATTTATAGACTAATTTTACTTATTGAAATTTTTATTTTATTTTGTATTTTTATTTTATTCTTTTATAAGTATTTTAGAAAAATTTTACTTAAACAGGTTTTAAGATAATAGTTAGTTGGTTAGTTATTTTAATTGGTTAATCAATTAGTTATTAATAAATTCTATAAACAAAATATATATCATACATTATTATGTAACTTTTTTCATTTTCATTAAATTTTTTTCTTTGCTTATCACTAAACTCAAGAATAATGCTCGTAATTATCAAAAAGCGTTCAACAACAACAAACTTTGCCAAGGAGATGACCTCACGATACTTTCTCGACGATTATCATCTTTAGAATTTTTAGGTTAAATTATTCATTTGTTCTATATTTGTCTTTGTTTTAAGTTTAGTTCTTATATGAGCGAATATAGTAAATTTTAGTTGACAATATTTTGTGATTGCTTATAACTACTAGAAAGATTTTTGTAGTTGTTTTATACCGTGTGAAAATTTTATTTGGTGTTAATACTAGTTACCAAAGCTTAAAATGCACGAGAATAAAACTTAAAATGGAAATAGTAATAAAATAGTTGGGATCAAAATAAATTCTTTATTCTTTAACTCATAATCAATCATATTAATTATCTTTACCAAAAAAAATCATATTAATTATCATTAACTTTAAATTGATATAAATAGTGAAGGATTCATGTTGTTTAATTAAGTGACTAGAATTCGAATATTGATTTTTGTAAATTCAAAAAATTCAAATTGATTTATTAGAGTTACACGTAATTTTGAGAACCTTTTAACTATATTTTTTAGTGATGAGATGTTAGAGAACAAAATAACTATATGTATGACTTAAGAAAGTGTCTTGTTTAAAAACAACTTTAAAATTATTCTTTTAGCATTTCCAAGTTCACTCTAATAAGTCAAATGTTGGCCATTAGAAAAATGACCATGAAAACTCCGGCCACCGCAAACTTGACGTGCACAAGTACCACCAACCCCTCAAACTCATGTCTTCTCTTATTTACTTTTCACTCTTGTATTTGTTATGATTATTTTGTTCGTTTGTTTGATGAAAATAATTCATGAATCATTTAAATCTTCTAAAAAAATCATTTAAAAATTTAATTCATTTGATCCATTTGAGAGAAAAAATCTAATCATTCATTAATAATTTTTTAATGAATAGATATTCGATCCATTCATAATAATATGTTTTAAAAATTATATTTTTTAACGTAAAAGTCTTTTAAAAAATATTACAAGTTACTATATTATTATAGAATCTTTAAAAATCTATTTTTTTATGTATTAAAATAGTCTTTTAAAATATGAATATAATGCACTTCTTTTATTAATCAAACATACTTAAAAAAATAGTAGATGAATTAATAATAAAATTAAATAGATGGATTAAATCCATTTTAATATTATTATATTTGTATAATAGATGAATTAATTGAATTTATTTATGAATGGATTAAATGGATGATGAAAAAAAGTAGATTGTTTTGCCACCCTAAGCTAAGTTACACTTTTTTAGTGTTATAAACATGGAAAACAACTAAATTTTCCAAAATATTTGCTTATCGAAACAATAATAAATTTTAATTATAATATAACTTATTTATTAAAATATTTGATTATTATAATATAAAATATTTGATTATATAAAACATTTCCTCTATTATTTATTATAAGAAGAAAAAAGTATAATTTGACACATTAAAAAAAATTAGTTGTCTGTATTAAATTTTATTAATTTTTTAAAAATTATCTTTATTATAAATGTAAAAAAATTAGTGTAATTGTAAAAAATTTAGTTATGTATTAAAGAATGAGTAATTTTAGAAAGATATTATTAATTGAAGTAAAATTAGCTAAAATATACTTGTATTTAAAAATAAAAAATGTGTGTTCGGTTCATTTCTTATTTATAAATTATAATAGAGAGAAAAGAAAGTAGTGGTTAAGATAAAAGGAAATATATGTTACAATAAAAAAAAAAAGAGAAAAATGAATTAAAATTCGAACATGTACGGGTTCGGGTAGGAATCCGAAAGAATGGTGCGGAAAAGAAAACCCTAACCCTGTAGTCGCCTACTTCAGTAGCACGTGACGCACGTGACTGGGAAAGTAGGAGTAGCGAGCGCCGCAAGGCGCAATCACACTATCTCCGCGGAAACTCAAATGCTTTTACGTTAGCCATTGGATTGGGTGCCACGTCATCGATCCGCGTGAATTCGTGTTTCAACGGCTGAGATCAGCGCTGCAGAGCAACTGGGGGAAGCGAAGGGAAGAGGCTGGTAACTAGACTGTTTTCTCCATTCTCTCGTGCTTGATTTTCCATCGATATTTTTCCCAACAAATTTCGAATCCTGTGGAGAACGTGCTTTGCTTTCTGGATTTCAAGATGAAGCTCACTGAGGAATTGAACGAGCACGTGGAGGAAAACGAGGTCGTGCTTTTGAGCGAGGAACACGACGAATATGAATCCGAAGATGAAGTAGACGACGGTGAAGACGACGAAGACGACGAGGATGACGACGACGATGACGAAGGAGACGACAATGACGATGAGGATGACGACGACGAAGATGATGCTCCTGACGCCGGTGACGACGATGACGACGAAGAAGGAGAAGAAGAACGCGACGTCGCGCGCGGTGGTGAACCTGACGATAACGACGACGACGATGACGACGACGACGACGACGACGAAGACGATGAGGAGGAGGAGGAGCAAGGAGAAGAGGTAGTTGACTCTGATTTTCTTTATTAAATCTCTAATTTCCTGAAATTGTTATTGTTTTGGACGCAAATACCGATTCTGGATTGTTTATTATCTTTAGTATGCTAATTTTTCACTTGATTCGTTTGGGTTCCTTTTAATTTATCGTATTTTTATTTTCTTCAATTTTTATTCTGTTTCGAGCAAGAGCCTAGAACCTAGGGATTCTTTACTAACTTGTTCTTTTAATTCTCTACGGTTGTTTTTTAAGACCTTGCATCTTTCTGAGTTTTTTTTTTTTTTTTTTAGAAAATGATTTATGAAACATGTTCGTTGAGCTAGTTGTTTTTTGGTGTTACATTATTATGTTTTGCTTTCTATTTTTCTTTCTGTTTGTAGGACTAGTTGTGTTTTTCTTCCCTGCTGCCATGTCCTTTCGGTTTCAGAATTACGTGCATTAGTACGGTTCAGTACTGATTGGAAAAGAAAGGGAGAGTGAGTGTTTATGTCTCTGTTTATCCGAATCTTTTTAATTACTAGTTTATGGCTCGCTTTTAAATTTACTCGAGGATTTGAGGCACCCAAGAAAATTTTCTCCGTTTTATCACTTTATGTGTAATAATATGCAGTATATTAATATCATGAAATTGCTCAATTCCTCGAGTTCACAGTATTGTTTGTTCTTTGATAATTCCTTGGTTTATATTTTAATATGCTTGCGAATTTCTTGTTCTATTGATGCCAACCATATGGGGAAACAATGAGCACCTGTTCACTTGGAATATCCGTTGAATAAGTGACCCCGGCTCCTTTATTGGTGTTGTTTGAATCACTTTATTTTTCACCAATTTTGGCTTTATGGTTTTTTTGGGGGTTGTTGAGAATCTACGTAATAGAATCAAGTTTCTGTTAAAAGAACTAAAGAACATGTTTCAGGTCATATGTCATCCTCAAATCGATATGAAAATGAAGAGGTGAAATAATTTTTGTTTGGCTGTATCTATACTTATTGTCAAACAAACTATACATGTAATTTTCTTTTTTGCCATGTCTTCCTGTGCTTGTATTACTTTGGATTTGACACATGAAACTTGTAGGAGGATTTGGGAACAGAGTACCTTATCCGCCCTTTAGGCACTGCTGAGGAGGAGGAAGCATCTAGTGATTTTGAACCCGAGGAGAATGGCGAGCAGGAGGAGGAAGATGAGGAGGACGAGGATGGTGACAAGGCTGGGGTTCCGCCAAAAAGAAAAAGGTCAGATAAAGATGATTCTGATGACGATGATGGAGGAGAAGATGATGAGAGACCCTCTAAACGGTAGAGCTGGGTCCATTCTTTGCAAGGGCTTAAACTAGTCAACCATAGGTCAACATATCTCCCTTTGTCCTTTTAAAAACATTCAGAGAAAGGTTCAGGGAATTGTTTCATTCTCTCTTGTATCATTATGGTGCGACATTAGTAGGCTTATTATTACTTTCATATGCTTGGTGCATAGTTTATAATGGGTTAAAACGTTTGGTAGAACAAATTTTGCAGACTTGAATGTTATCTTCAAGGTACATTTTAGCTCCGTAGATCTTTATGCATTACTGTATTTGATAGTGATACTCTAAAAATGTTGGTAGGTTTCTTCTGGCTTTTACATTACAGTTTTTCATGACAATCGTTTAATACTCATTTGTCTCTATTACTTGTGAGAGGGTTGCTTCATGGATTCTGAACTTGTGGTTGTTGGATCGGTCAGAGAACCACTTTTCTTTTCCAGGCATTCAAGAAGTGAATTCCTCATTGACCATGATGAATATATTGGGTCTACAACGAATGGAAAATTATGTTTTACCCTTTGGTGAAAATACGTGCCAGTCATTTTAGTTTTGCTTTGACAAGCTTCAACTACAGGATCGATTGGTGAAAATATCTGATACATTAAAGATATTGGTAGAATTCGTTTGGCTTTGCAGTATTTGGGTTGCAACTATTCATACATGTTTCTTTAGAATATTGACAAGGTGCTGTAAGAAAGAGGTGTATATGCCATAAAGGAAAAACTATCATAATTGATCGAGTGCGGTAAGGTTCAGATTGCAGGCAACCATACCCGAGTGAAATGAACCTATTGGCTATTGCGTTGTCTGCGATTTCATGCCCATTATTCCAAGTTTTGTCCGTTCAAATGAAACATGCAGGCACGACCCAAGCCCAAAGCCGTAATTAAAGCGAAGAATACCAGAATTAGTTCAAGAAATCTGTTAAGATTATACTTGTTCTTGGATGACAACTGGGTGGGACTAGTATAAGTTTTGCTATGATCGTCTTCATATTTTATATTCATATCCATTCCATACTTGTTTACAAATTAAATGTCTTTTTTGTAAAACAAATATAATTTTTTAATATAAAATAATTATTACAAAATTATATTAATTAAGATTTATTTTTCATAAATTTAAAATAAAATTAAAATTACATAAATATCAAATAAAATTTTAAAAAATAAATTAAGTTTTTAAAATTTTTAAGTTGGTATGGATCCAAGATGGATAAGTGTATATTTATTCTCATCCTTGTACCTGAGTTAATAAAGTCTTAAAAGTCAATTCTGTATTTAAAATAAAGGAACGAATTACTTTAAATCATATCTAATAGATTAATTAACAATTTTTTCATTAATAATGCACAAAAAAATTGAAATCTTAGTTCAAAACAAACTTGTGATTAGAATAAAATCTATCGATAAATAGATATATTTATTATCATAAAATTTAAGAGTATAATAATTATAATGCACTTATCATAATATTTTGGAATTATTACTTTAAAATGAATATTATATACTTGTTTTAACATGACTATAGAAAAATCGAACATGAAAAATATAACATGATCGTTAAATAAACAAAATTCAAACATTTTTAACTTTTATCATAAACGAAGTTTATTAATATTTTTTTTATCATATAACAAAGGTAAATAAAATATATTTCTTTATTAACAAATATTATTATACATAAAATATATTTTTCAATATTTATTTTATAAGTGATAAAAAAGTATTTAAGGATGTACATTTGATACCTTTAACTTATGCTCTAAATACAAAGGATACATTTATATAAAGTGTGATTTTATTTCATAGCTTAATGCCCAAGTGTGCGTGCTCGAAGCTCAGTGTGTAATGTGTACATACTACACTGGCTATTGTTTTTTTATTTTTGAGTTCGTCCATACGGGCTTGAAGCTTGATAATAGGGGGCTCCGTTTCGTGTTATCCTTTGCGTTTTTGTTTAACAATAAAGAATTATTAAAAACTTGTAGAAAAGGAAAGAGGGGATTGAGCAGTGAGCACACTGATTTTAGCAAAAGTACTGAGTACATTAGGGACATGGACACCTTCTAATTATGGTGTATACGGCGTTTTAATCCATTAGAAAATTATGATTCATGGAAGTTTTAAGAATCGTAGGATTTAATTATTTTAATTTAAAAAAAAATAAACAAAATTTGTTTACTACTCCACCCATGTATGTTTTAATTAGGGACGCAAACACCCTTTCTTGTTTGTGGGCATTCCACGAGAACAGTGGGATCTGCATGTTTTATTAAAATATAAAATAACATTTATTTAATAAATTTATGTAAAGTAAAACTTAATTTTATTTATTTTGTATTTTAAAATTAATCACTGATCTTCCTAGGATCTAGGAAGAGTAATGGAATTTTGTGGTAGTTGGAAGCGCGGTGAATTGAATCGTAGAAGGTTAGGCATAGTGGTGTCGGTGAAGTAGATGTGGGACACGCTCCTTCATTTCCACTCGATTGGACAGGTGTAGTGCCACCATCACAATCAAATCACATTAAGGAAATGACATTTTTTTTAGAGCAGGAAATGGCATTTTCGGTATCTATCGAAGATGGATACTTTTTCCTTTAACTGATATTTTGTCTCCATTAAAATTCATATTTTTTTATTAAATAATTGTATATTCATATTGTATTTTTATTATAAATATAAATTTTTATTATTATTATTTTCATCTTCTTCAACACATACGCGCAGTGCCAGTGAGTTTCCACTTTTATCACATGACGTCACTCTTGTATTTACGAACCGAACCCAGCCATATGAAGCATTTTGCCTACTGAAAATCCTCCTCTTTCGCATTTTCATTTTCGCAAAACTAGGGATCACACTTCTTCTCCACCAGATCTGGTGGCGAATCGCCGTCCAATCTCTCTCTCTTCTCCGAATGCCGCTTCAGTTCTCGTGACTTGCGGTGAATCGGAAATCTTCTCTGATTTTTCTTCCTCTTTCTCTTTTCCGATATGCTTCTCTCCAGTCCCGTTACTCCCGGTCAGGTACGTCTTTCGGTTCAACCTTCTCGCGCCCTCAGATCTTGCACCGATTCGTGTTTCTAGTTACTCGGTTCTGCTTAAACATCAAAAACACTAGTCGAATTGAATTTGGAGCTATCAACACATTCTAGCGCGGAGTTTGGCGTGTTGTGTTTGTACTTTGTGCGTGTGAATGATTTTTCGGTTTCTGATGCTTGCAGGTCTCGTTCTTGCTCGGGATCGTTCTCGTCGTTGTGGCATGGATATACTCGGAGATTTTGCAGTATCTGAAAAACTCTGCCTCGTCCAGAGCGTAAGTTCAATCGATTACTCTTTCGCGGCGTGAGTTTTTTTAGTTGCGCGTGATGGTAGAATGCTTGCATTTCACGGTAGTGCAGCGTCTGCGAATTTCGAAATACGATAATCAATCAGTCATAACTGCTGAGTTATCTGTTGAGGTGTTGAGTTAAGTAGTTAGCCACAATAGACTTTTATGATTGTTATGATGACTAGTACCGTTATGCAACTTTTGTTTTCCTTTCTTTTTCCGCAATTTTTAATAGAGTTTTGCAATTCAATCACGATTCATGAATGAGTTAATTAGTGGTAGAGTGAAATCTTTTGGGAGATAGAGATATTATTTTTGGCCTGTACTTCTATATATGTTACTTTTTCCCAATGTGTACGGGAAGGTCATTAAGAATTTGTTGCCAGTATTTCTTACGGAAGTTATTCTCGTTTAGTGGGAACTCAGAAATCAATTTAGTTGAAGTGCGAAGTGATGTTGTTAAAGATGAAGACAGAGCAGTTTTATTGGAGGGAGGAGCTCTACAGTCAGGGTCCCCGAAGGCACGGAGCTTAAGTACCTCACCATCAATTATCAGGTTTGTAATGTCTTGTTTTTGCTTGCTCATATTATGGTTCTGTATTTCATTATTTCTGTCTTTGCTTAAATGTAGAGTTACGCACTTGACCTTTTCATTATTTCTTCAGGTTCCTTTTGATGGATGAGTATTTCCTTGTTGAAAACCGTTTGACACTTAGAGCAATGTAAGTGAATTATATGAAGGACAAAATGGAAAAAATCATATGAACTACAGTACCATAGGAAATGAAAAAGTTATTTGTATATGTGGATCAAACTAATTGTTTTTCATTTCCTCTGCTCTTTGTCTGTGACAGGTCCGAATTTGGTCTCATTTTGGCTTACTTTTATTTGTGTGACCGTACCGATTTCTTTGCCTCATCAAAAAAGGTTTCTGATTTCATCACTACGTTTGTTGCTGAGCACTATTTTGTGATTGGAAAGTCAGTTCAGCAAGCAAATATTGCTGCACTTTGGCATCGCTTTTTAGCTTTAACCAAACTGTTACCTTCGTATTGTTTCAACAAAATTACATCCTTTGTTGCACTTCATATTTCTTTTGTTTCTGTAGCCGTGATATCATACACCCTCATATGGTTTTTCCTGTATTAGATTTTCAAACAGATACAAGGAAAAGATTGCAGCAGTTATTAGTATTTATGTCATAGTACTTCCTAAATATTGGAAATCAATTTACATAATTCATATGGCGAGACAGATAACAGAAGAAAATAAAAATTGATCACTTTATTTTTGCTAGATGAAAATAAACATAATTAACTGAAAAGTGGAAGGTAGTAGAATAAGTGGTATAAGATAGAAATACTCCAATCTTCCCGTATTTTCATGATTTTTGATGAAGCTCCCTCTATTTTGAAAACCTATGCTGACCTCCCCTAAATTTTCATGGTTTTGAAATATTTCTGTTAAAACATTTCTGTTGAATAATTAACTGACAAAAGATTGAACTCAATCATTAAAGTAAAGCGGGGAAAGCAGAGAAAGGACAAAGGAGTGAATTACTTGTTGCATCAATGCACACACAAAGCACAATGTATTACCTTAGCATGTACCCAATGCTGTTGGTCATGGGCTAGAAAAAATCAGTATTCCGACTTGCGTTTGCTTTATCCATGAAAGCAGTAATATATGTTTGAGAAATTTGCTTTATCATATGACTATTTTGCATTAGTGATGTGAGCTTTTGTCGATGATCATCTGTTTTGCAGAGTTACAATAGGGATCTCTTCCTATTTCTCTATTTTCTCCTCATCATAGTTTCGGCAATGACTTCCTTTAAGATACATCATGACAAGTCACCATTGTCTGGGAAATCCATCCTTTACTTAAATAGGCACCAGACTGAAGAATGGAAAGGCTGGATGCAGGTTGGTCACTTTTTGTTAATATTACTGAAGTACTTTATTCTCTTATCATTTATGATGGAAAAACTTTCTATGCAACTCTTCTGATGATTCAACTCTTACTGTACTTGCATTTAATATTGTAAATTCTTCAAATTTAACATTCTATATTTCACTCATTTGACATCTGTAACAGGTTTTGTTTTTGATGTACCATTACTTTGCTGCATCTGAAATCTACAATGCAATCCGTTTGTTCATTGCTGCATATGTTTGGATGACTGGATTTGGGAACTTCTCATATTATTATGTTCGTAAAGATTTTAGTTTAGCAAGATTTGCACAGGTATGCAATTTCCTTGAACTATAAAAGCTCATTTTTAGTATTTGGTCTGTACTAACTGCAAACATTTCTTACTTTTTGTTGTTGAGCAGATGATGTGGCGGCTTAATTTCTTTGTGGTGTTCTGTTGTATTGTACTTAACAACAGTTACATGTTATACTACATCTGCCCCATGCACACTCTTTTCACTCTTATGGTTTATGGGGCACTTGGTATTTTCAACAAGTATAATGAGATTGGGTCTGTCATTGCTGTAAAAATCATTGCTTGCTTCTTGGTTGTGATATTAGTATGGGAGATACCTGGCGTATTTGAATGGGTTTGGAGCCCATTTACTTTCATGCTCGGTTAGTAACACTTATGACATTTGACTTCACTGCTGAAGGCACAGCAAATTATTCTAAACAGAAGGTTTCTTTAAACTTGCAGGTTATACTGACCCAAATGCCAAATCACATGTTTCACGCTTGCATGAATGGCATTTTCGCTCAGGGCTTGATCGCTACATATGGATAATTGGAATGATTTATGCATATTATCATCCAACTGTAAGTTTCTCATTTTATGTTTTTGAAATAATTGAAACAAAACTAACATTTGGATCCATCTTTTCTCTGATTGAGTGATGATTCTGAAGTTGGAAAATATCTCTGACTTCTGTCTCCTCTTTTCTTTCTTTTTCCTCTAAGTTTAGTAACTTAATGGCTGTCACATGGTATTATAGGTTGAACGATGGATGGAGAAATTGGAGGAAGCAGAAGTCAAGCTTAGAATATCAATCAAAGCAGCTGTTGTGCTGATATGCTCATTGGTATTATATTTTTTTGATGAGATTACTGTACAAGTATACCTTCGCTTTGTTTTATTTTATGGCCCTGACGTTTGAATTAATTTCTAGGTGGGTTATTTATGGTTTGAGCATATATACAAGATGGACAAGCTTACATACAATAAATACCATCCTTATACCTCATGGATTCCCATAACGTATGTCCATTTTTCCTTCATTTATTTTTTGGGGCAGAGACCTGATGAAGGGGATTCAAAACCTTTAGTTATTAATGTGCCGCATTTTTGACAGGGTTTACATATGCTTGCGGAATGTTACACAAAGTTTTCGTAGCTATACACTGACTCTTTTTGCGTAAGTTGTGTTTGTAGAAGTACAATATTTTATTCATCTCTCTTTTTGCGTAAGTCTTTGTAGCTATACACACTCTCTCAAAAAACGCACATGAACATGCCTTCTTATTTAATGAGCTGATTTATTGCTAAGTGCTGTCAAGTATTTGTATAAATTTTGATACTTTGTTTTTTAAGGCTGGTAATTTGTTAACTAATTTTATAATGCTTCTACTTTCTGCTAGATGGCTTGGGAAGATTACACTGGAGACTTACATCTCCCAGATCCATATCTGGTTAAGGTACTTATAAGCTGATGTCCTGCTTTTAGCATTTATTGATGGTTTACTAGATGTCACATATTTTTCTCTTAATGAGTTTAGGGGTTATTTGGCGTACATGTAGTTAGTTGCCCAAGCATATTAGATTCCTAGGCATGAGATGCCTGGATACAACATGTTTGGGCATGTGGGGTTTCACATGTTTGGCATAGTATAATAGATGCCTAGATTCATTAATGTTTCGTGACACTAAATGTTGAGCATTTAACTTGGAATTATTTTAATGAATTTTTCTTTGGTTTGAATGTGGGTGTGGGGAGAGGGAGGTATAACTTTGAATTTCTGAAAATATCTTGATTTTGTGTTTTTAAATAGAAGAATTTCATTTATATCAATTTACCATATCAAAAACATACCAAGGAGCATGCGTTGTGCCCAGAAGAAATTGGGGCAATGATGATTTAAACTGTTGGATAATTACCTAGTCCTTGATGGGTGAGAGACATTTTACTAGAGACATTTGAACTATTGGATAATTACTGGATGTCAAGGGGAAAATGTTTAACATACATTCATGCACAATTACTATGTGTACGTGTGTAATAATTTTTGTTATTTACCATAATATATTAAGTCTTCCTTTCTATGTCGTTGCCTGATTTTAGGTCAGGTGTTCCAGATGGTCAACCAAAATTGTTGCTTTCCCTGATCCCAGACTACCCAATGTTGAACTTCATGCTTACTACTTCCATCTATGTTGCAGTAAGTAAAAGCACATGCTGGATTGAGATTTTTATGTTGATTGATTCTGATTTAAACATTCTTTGCAGATTTCCTATAGGCTCTTTGACCTGACTAATACACTGAAAATGGCATTTGTGCCCAGCAAAGACAACAAGCGTCTTGTACACAATTTAATTACAGCAACAACAATTTCAGTTGTTTTATATTCTTTGTCCCTTGGATTCCTTAATATACCTCGAAAGTTGGTAAGTGTTATTACAATAATTTGATCTGGTCTGGTTCAATTAAATTATCCTTACATCTAAGCAATTTGCCGTCAATTTGTTAAGCTCATACTTGCTTCCATACACAAACACGTAAGTACATACATGTGTATGAAAGCATACAGAACAGGGAATGCAGTTTTCTTATGCAAAATTATAATTTGGTGGTAACACATGATAAGGAGTGTAGTAAGTAAAAAGGCAGCTTCATGCATACCCTGTGAATAAATTGTGAGGCTTGTGGTGTTATATCATGGCAAAGTTGGAAGCTATGCCACGACTATAAATGAGATGCAGCCCACTTGTGTAGAACAGTATAAATTTTATTGTTTTGCATTTGCGTTTTATGCGCTATACATTTACCTAAATCTAAGTAATTGTAAATTTGCAGGTTTGAAAATGTGAACATGTATATATTGTTGCAAGCTTCTATGCTAGTTACTTGTGGACTCGGAAGAATACTGGGCAGTTGCTGCAATTGGTTTGTCAGGCCAACTCTTTACCGAAAGATGCATTCATAAATTTTTTTTCCTAAACAGTAGTAGAAGTGAACTTGTACCAAAAAAACGAAGCAAAAATGAATCATTCTAATAGGCTTATAGCTGCAGTTTTAGGGGGTTGGAAGTTGTATAGATAAGAGGGTGGGCGCATGGCATCGCATTTTTTTAATATATATTATGCAGCCTCATTTTTTTTATGTCAAGTGTTGTAATTTAGTCACACTTATATTACCGTCTACTATTGGGTGAATGTGAGGGCCAAACAAATCCTCACCTATACGTGGGGTTAAAAATAACGGTTGGATTGGATCAATTATTAAAATAAATGAATGTCTGAGATTGAATCGACCTTTCGTGTATCATGACCATGCATTTATTTTACTGATATATCCAACTTTTATTTTTAACCCCTCATCTTAGAATTCACCCTACTCTATTATGTCAAATAGTGGTAAGATTTTTGACTTGTAGTTTCCTGAAACTCGGTTATTACAAGGAACTATAATTTCTGCTAGTTTGTCACTATTGAACTAACTTGTAATTACCAAATCTGTTTCGGCAGCACAACAGGGTCAAGTCGTGGTTAGTTTTTTTGAACGAGCAAAGTACAGTCTAACATGCTTCTAGGCTTTTGGATTATGCCTAATTTTAGAAGTTTATTATTAATTATTAACTTGGGATTTGTATCTCTTAAAACACTTTTAGGAGAGAGTAAAACATGAAGAGAAAAAATGAAATTAATTTCATCATAAGCTAGAATTAGTCGTGTAATTTTATAAAATGAAATTTAGACAAGTTAGTAGGAAAGAACTTATGAACTTTTTTTTTTTTTCATGTTTTCTTCTAATAAAAGTGCTTATTGAAAAAATTACTGAAACAAGTCCTTATAAAACGTCAACTATACCAGGTGGCAAATTTAAGCGGTTACATTATTTCCGTACGTCAGAGGTCTCGGATAAGTTATTGCTGGCAAAAACCCATATATAATAGGCAAATTGATAAGATTCTCGACAGAGTAGAGAATATTAATCCGATCCTTTTAAACTTAGGTATTGGTCATTAAGTGTTATTTAATACAAACTTAGGCTCCTAAATAATGTTAAAATGCACATACATAATTGAGGGTCGACGTGATGCTCATTTTCAACCATAAGAATTGTCCAATATGTACGGAAAATCAACAGTACGTGTTAAATTTAAAAATCCATTTGATTCATTGGGCTGATTTAAGGTGAAGAAACTTTTAATTACGACTATGAAAATTTAAATTTATGAAGATATATGCACGAGTACAACAAATTAATCAATTGACTGATATGACTGTTTTCTTTAAGTATACTTACTTTGAATGGGCCTGTTTTTAAAAAACGACTACAGGTATCGGTATGTGATATTTCTTTGATATTTGCACAATTCATGTTGCATTCCAATGCAATTCATCATAGAATGCCGCCGCAAGTGAGAGATCCTATTCTCGTCGAGAAGCTATATCTAGCGGACTGACAAAATAAGTTTGGTAAAAAAATGTAAATGTGACAGTAAAATTTAAATCGGAGGCAGGTAATATAAAAGACTCTTATCTATTGTTTCATCTTGGTCCATAAAATATCAGGGTTTGTTACAAGTAGAGCTTTCAAAGTTTAAAACTAGGATAACAATGAGCTATCCAGTAAGTATATAAGTGCATGCATTCTGTCAAGATACATGCAAAGCAGCAACATGAGCCAACAATTGCCTTCTTTAAGATGATTCTCCGTCAAAATATATGAACAATGTCGTATGCAAATCTATATTCAGTCAAAGAAGCAAAGAATAATAGGCAAGAATTCAGGTACGAGATCCACAGGTTCTTGAATTTTTTTTTTTTTTTAAACTTATCACAAAGTTTGTTACTTCTATAAAATTAAAAAGTATCAATTCCCCCAGTACTACTCATTTATCATTATTATCTCTCCTAAATATTTGATGGTGTAACATTCAATCACAAATTGACACAATAAGTTTGTATGGTTTTATTTTAACTAATATTTTAGTCTGTAATGTACATGCATGCTAAATATTTATTATATATAACTAAAATTTATTATAAATTATGCATACAAATAAATATTTAAATATATAAATTATATTTAAAATTTGAAGAAATAGATATTTTTAAATATATAAAATATTTTAGATTTATGATAAATAATTTATATTGTAACATAATATTTTTATTTATTGATAATTTATTTTAAAATACTATAATTTAACTCAAATAATATGATAAATAAAAATTATATTAGATAAAAAGTTAAAAATTTTCTAGAATTTTTCTTGTTGAAGAAAAATTCATAAAATCACATAAAATAGCTGTTTGTTTTTTATAAATAGAAATTGATTCAAAAGTCACATTTATCGTGATTTATGATTTTTAATTGGTTAATAGTATAACAACTTTTAAACTTGACATTATAATAATTTAACGATCATGCATTGTTCATATAAAATAATTTTACATTATTAACTAATTAAAATACTGGTATGGTTTTTCAAGCCAACAAATTTACAACACATGATGATTTCGCAAGGCCTATTTTCTCTTTTTCTCTTTAACTTTATTCTAATAAAGATATATTTGTCAAATAAAGATATTCAATCATTGTAATTCGTGTAATTAATAATTTTCTTCAGAAATGTGTATTACCTTAAAAAAATATATCATGAAACAGTTGAAATATTATAAATTTAGCGAGTTAAATTTTTATAGGTTGTAGGTTAGAATCGGAGGGTTTGAATAAATTTTACTAAAAATGCTTGTAGTAGAAAAAAAAATGAAGTATATTTTTCTATAAGTTATAATTATATTATACATAAATTTTTTTATTTTTTTAAAACTATGATAAAAATATTTTGAAAAAATTAAATTGGGTGAACTTTTACAAATCGAGTTATATAGGCTAATTTTAAATTAAAAGATGTCCTTGGTAAGATGCCACTAATTAGAAGCAACAAGAGTCCAGATAACTATAGCGGGATAGCCCAAGTGGAATAGGCATATTGGCAAAGTGACAAGGATCTTTTTAAGTATCCATTACGGATATAATTTTTAGAGGAATTTTACACCGTTTTATTTAGTTACCATGTTTGAACTTAGGAACACTACTCAACTTCTTCCACATTCATGAGTGAAGTTCAGTTGAAAGTTTGGAAAAAAAAAAAAAACCAATTAAATGATAGTCTATACACTATACAAGTATTTCATTTTGAACTAGAAATAGCAAATGAATGGATCGAAACTTTTTTAGTTAGATTATAATAAATCAATTCATTAATCATTTGTATCCTCTAAATATTTATGTAAAAAAATCTAATCTATTTTATTTATTATTCAATTATCCATCACATATAAAAAAAATAATGTTTTAATTTTTAATTTTTTTTAACTTAAATATACTTTTAGTACCGTATTTTATTTCGTTCCTTGTAAATTATTTTTTAAAATAGATGTTGTAAAATTTTTACTTTTCATTTTTCTCTTTATTATTTTATTTAAGTTCTTATAGTATACTTAATTATTTTTTTCTTTTTTGTCGTGAATATTTTACTTTTAGTCTTTACTACTTTTGTTTCAAAGGAACTAACTCAAAATAAATAAAATATTATAAAGACTAAAATGACAGAATAGATATTTTATAATGACTAAAAGAAAATAAGAAGGACTAAATAATTTTTTTACTAGGAACTTTTAAAAATAATAATTTTACAAGGATACAATAAGAAAAATGATTTATTATAGAAATCATAATTATATTTAAATCTTTTAGTTTTGAAATATTATTTTTCTCTTTCTTCTCTATCTTTTCTTTCTTTATTTTTTAGTTATTACAGAATTAATGTATTTTAAAATATAATAAAAATCACTTTGAGAATGTTTGATTATGAGAGGAAGAGTTTCACTTCATAAGTTTTGCATAATACCAATTTAAACACAATTAAATTGTTTAATATATATAGAGAATCAAATAATAGGACTTGTATATAATTCAATAACTTTATACTAAACAATATAATAGTTGATAAAAGTTATACTAATATTATTTGAACTTTTCTTTATATATATATATTACTCATATTAGCTATTTTTATAAATAATTTTTCTGGTCATTAATTAAATCGGATCTGCCTTAAAGATTTTGAAGTACTTGTGAGGCACCAAAAAAACCTGTGATTGGTGCCTACGCAATGTATATAGTAATATTAGACGCAGATCTTTAGTTTAAAATAAGGGCATTTTGTTGTATTATGATAATCAGTTTAATGCAACATCTACACATATTGCTTATTTAATTAAAAAATGCAGCGAAAGAGAAACATAAGAAAGTTTGAAGATATAGTTTGTTATGTTGCAAGAGAGTAAGATTGGGCAAGACGACCATTTGCTCCTCTAGGGAAGAAGGCACCGGGGACACTTGCATTACCTCCATATATTATCCTCAATATTTCTTCTATACTCCTTGGATATGAAAGTGAATATTTGTCAGCAGAAAGCACATTACCTGAAACTTTGCCCTCAGCACCTTCCGATGGAGGAACAACAACACCCTCATCTTTTATTCCTTCTCTACCTAACCTATTTCTTAGGTCTGAAATACGATTTGTGAACTCTGCCACAGTCACTGCATATGGACTCACTAGAATGTTCCTACGTTCAAATAAAAGTGCTCGAAAAACTGCATCTTCGCCAGCCTCTACTCCTAGAATGCCAGCAACAATCTGCACACATATATATATATATATATATATATATATAATTGGGTCATAAAATATATATGTTAGATATCTTTACTAGCTAACATATGAGGTTTATTTTGTGAACATATATATGTATATTTTTTACTTTATAAAAACTATTTTGTTAATACATTGTTTTAAACTTTTAACCCTTACCGACTTGTATGTCTCATTTTGCAACGTTGGAGTGGCTCCGACCAGGCCAGTGAGGCCAACATAAGGAATCACGTAACACGCAAGTAGGAAGTTGATGGAATTGGCATAGGGGTCGAAAGCTGGGACCAAAGTTCTTCCAAACGCTTGATTCATGATGTCTGCAAACACTTCCTTACTTATATTCAATAATGGCCTAGGGATACCTTCTACTAAGTTCTCTATGCCCCTGCAATGAACATTTGTGCAACTTTTCAACTCTTTCCTTTTTCTTAGGAGCATTTGATCCCAAAACCATCAAATCATAGGTTGTTTTCTGTTTACGGTGGAATTTGTTTTAAGGATTCTTTTTACTCGGACTAGCACAATCAATGTTTCAATTTAGATATGTTAACGTTCTTATGTATTTGGAATACAGTGCAAAGAACAGAGACAGAAGTACTTGATCATTTAAGACAGAGGATGACATTCGATTTATTAAATACCCTGCAATAAGTATAGCATCACCCCACAACTTTGGGGGTGCATTGGCATTCAATAAAAGAGTACAAGCAGTGTCCACAATATGTCTATACAAGCAGTGTCCACAATATGTCTATATTTTCGCTCAGCTACACCATTTTGTTGAAGTGTATAAGGGCAATTAGATTGATGTAGAATGCCATGGGAAGTCATAAATGATTTGAAGCAATCTGAAAAATACTCTTTAGCATTGTCACTTCGTAAAATCCGAATTACTTTGCCAAATTGAGTTTTGATCTCTGAATAGAAACTTTGAAAAATATTGAATAACTCAGAGCAATTTTTCATTAAAAATATCCAAGTACATCTAGAAAAATCATCAATAAAGGTGACGTAATACCTATGCCCTAAAAGAGAAGGAACTCGACTAGGGCCCCAAACATCAGAATGAATGACATCAAAGGGAGACACAACTCGACTATTAATACTCTTAGGAAAAGAAGTTCTAACATGCTTCCCTAATTGACATGACTCACACTCTAAGGATTCCAAGCGTGAGAGAAGAGGTACCATTTTCTTTAATTTATTCAAACTTGGATGACCCAGGCGACGATGAATTAAACTAGGAGACTCAACAGATGCACATATGGTAGAGGTAGAAGACTGAA